GGATTACACTGAGTATGTTGTGTTATTACTTCTTGTATGTACAATAGCTGTAAAAAGTAACATGTAATATGTGGTATGATGAAGAGGGGAGATTCTTATGGAAACCAGTTATTTGGTGATAGAAATTTACATGCTTCAAGTCCTTGAGATAGAACACTATTGAGCTATATGATATCTAAGACATGACCTTGGCTCTGAAACATCCTCCACATCCAATGGATTGATCATTCTGGACTTCTTGATTCTGATTTTGGATCTGGCCTTCAATGGACTTTGGGCTGCCACCGGAGTATCGGAGAGAGGGTGATTCAAACATCTGCAGCTCAACAACTTCCTTGCCTTCACATATGATCTTGACCTCACAGAACTCTGGTGCATTTTGTAATATCTCATCCGTCGTTCCGTTACCTTTTCTTGACTTCATTTTCCTATCAGAGGAATTCATGAAACAAGATTAAGAGGATGACAGCTGAAAACTGATGGAGAAGTAGAGTAGAAGTTAAAAAGTTATTTTTTGTTGCTGCTCATACTTGAGATTGGCTTTAGAAGTACCAAGAATCAACTTTCTTATGTTGCAGATGGGAATGAGGTTCAGTATAGCTTTGCCTTCCATGTCACTCTCAATAAGTATAGTGTCCAGTTTAACCTGTTAAAAATGGCACATATTCATACAGCCTTAGTTATACAGGGCATGCAAGTGGGTACCTCCACTCATTTGTTTCCCAGTGGCGAAGCCTGAAATCTCGTTAAGAGTGTTAAGGATTTATATATATGTATATAATAACATACTCAGTGAAATTTTGAAAGTAGGGTTTGGGGAAGGTAGAGTTTATGTATATCTTACTCCTATCTTGTGGAGGTAGATAGGTTGTTTTTGGAGGACCCTCAGAACGACAATGAAGAAAACGTTAACAACTAATATGGAGACAGTAGCAACAACAAAATAGTATGATAATCGAAATATAAGATTAATATATTTATGTATACAAAGTAATATTTGACGTATATACGTGATATAATTTTCCGATGAAGAGTGATCCGTATGTGCACCTTGGAAGCAGAGCAAATGTCAACAAACTTTTGAAGGAACTGCCTCCTCTTGCTTCTTTCTTTAGTCATGTAGTTCTCTTTCTGTTCTTCATTCACTTGGCCTATTGGCATCATTCCCACTGTGTTGTTTCATCACAAAATAAGTTTCATATAATTTTGTGTCTTTATAGAGTATAACAAACTAAATAAGATCTAAATTCAAATAATAAGAAAGTAAAATAGTCAAGAGTATTCAAAACAATATCTTAATTTTATCGTCTGTTATAATTTGGATATTATTCATACTCTTATCTTTAGAGAAATATATATTGACACGTTGAATTCACTCAGTTTGTTTGGAGTTAGAACTCTTTTACAATCAAGGACAACTACAAGACTATATGCTAAACAACAAGGGTATGCATGACCTCATAGTATAATAGAAGGTAAAATTAAGATAATTATGAGTAAAATTATATCATGATTTTTTTTTAAAAAAAAAAGATAAAAAGATACAAGGTTGAATTTATGAATGAACAAAGTATCCCCTTAATCAAAGTGGCCAAATCCTCCTACAACTAAACCATTAGACTATAACTACAACAACATATTTAGTATAGTTTCATAAGTGGGGTTTGGGGAAATACATACGCAGATTTTATTCTTACCTTGAAATATATAGATGTTGTTTCTGATACACCCTTGACTCAAGAAAATAACAGGAATAACGAAATCAAGAATTAAATATTATTTTTCTTATGCATCTTTGTGTGTGTGTGAGAGAGAGAGAAGCACTTACAAGGAGTGGGGATGAAGTTAGTTTGAGGAAAGATATAAATGAGGAAAACAATGGTAGAATTTGGATTAGTCACAACATGATTGAGAGTCCAAAGCAAAGCATCCACGCTTGATTCCTCTTGGCTAACATTCTTATTCCAAACAACAACATAAACAACATCATGTTCCTCATGATTGTGAAAGTCAAAGGAAAACAAACTTCCTTCAACTTCACCACCACCATGATGATCAATTTCAAACAAATCACTTGTAGAATTATAAAAATTCCCCTCCTCTTCTTCTTCTTCAATTTCATTGATCAAACTATTGTCATTGATTTCTTTCATTGTTTTCTTCTTCTTAAAAATTAGTGAAAAATCAAGATGATGGTGATCAACCTTAATATTATCAAAATCCCAAAGAGGGGATTAATGATGATAGACTCACTTTGTGTTTGTCCTTTCTTATTTGCTTCCAAAAGATTTAAGTTGTTTGGAAAACTTAGACAAGTGTAGGAAAAAGTTGTTACCAAGTGAGACATTTTTATATAGAGGATAAAACTAATGATGTAAGCTAGCAACTATAAAATAACTCTTCTTTTAGAATTATAAGGTAGAAGCGGATTCAAGATTTAAATTTTATGAGTTCAGAATTTAATATTCATGCGTACATAATAGATTTTCATGTATGCACAATCGAAACCTTCGTCGATTACATACCTTTGACCCAGGGATTATTAGAAACAACCACTTTGTCATGTAAAGATAAAGGCAAGATATGTGTACAATCATTGGGTATGTTATTGTTATTGCATACATAATGGATTTTTGTTAACATATATATAAAATTTGAGTTAAAATTACTGGAGTTGACTGAACGTGTAGATTATAATGTCCACACGCCCCTAAAAAATATTCACACCCGACTCTTAATGTGATCATGGGCGAAGCTAAGGGATGGAAGGAGGTTTATCTGAGCCCGGCCATTTCACCGAAAAATTATACAATATATATAAATATTTTTTTTTTTAACATATTATATATTAGATGTTTAATTTTCTTTGCCTGTTCATTTTTGTTACTCTTTGAATCCCTCGATAGAAATCTTGCCTCCACCCACTCAATGTAATGTCACTACTTATCATGTTAAATGTATTTTGTTGGTACTCTCTCTTTTTTTGCCTTATTTATTTTTTCCATGTGTTTTATAAACAATATTACATTTCTATATTTAGGAAGTTCTTAATTCTAATATTCTCATTTTGTTCTTGAAATAAACCAATAAAATATTTAATTTTGAAAAAAAGGATAGTAACTAAATCCGTTTAATATGTATTGTACTATTTTTCGACGAAAAGTATTCAATTCAATATGTCTGACAATACACGGTCCCCCAACCCAAAAAAATATGCATATTTGATAGAATAAAAAGACAACATTAATTTATTCATTTCATTTTAATAAATTAAATGAATATGAATGATGTTATGAGTAATTTATTATTTTTTTAAAACAAAAATGTTGAGACGTTATTTTCTAATAGAGACTTGTACAAGAATATCCGAATATACGTACCAGCATCTCAGCGCTTTCAACCAATGAAATTGTCCAAAGTCAATGCATTTTGCTTACAATATTATATTATATTTTCTCCGTCCTAATTTACGTGTCATAGTTCGAATTTTGAGAGTCAAATTTTTAAATTTTGATAGAGAATTGAAGCGTAGAATTTTGTAAACTATGTAAAAAAGTGCTATAAGTCATAGTAATTAAGTTTTTAAAAGACATGAAAAAATCGCGATCAAACAAAAATTTCGTTGACTTTCGAAATTTGAACATGACTATATTTTATGTATTAAGTGTTATTAGTTGAAACTTGTATGAGAATCGCAGTGCTGATCGATTTGTTATATGATTATATTGACTGAATTATTTAAAAGGGAATTGAACAAGAAACCTATTGATGATAATAATTAAGTTCGATGAATATTCGTACTGAAATTCAAAACATTATCATGATATGCGTTCATCTCAATTATTTCACACTCATAATTACGGAGTTAAGACTTTTTATCAAACTAAGAAATCAAGGGTACTATTCAATATATCTAGTGTAATATATAATCATCTTTTAAAATTTTTATCTATATAATGTAATGTTCGACGTAAACAGCACTACAAGAAAATGGTGAATTACCTAGGGATTTTTCTGGGGATTAGTATGAAAATTTGCAGGAAAATAAGTTTCCTGCGGATTTTCATACTAATCCCTAGAAAAATCCCCATGTAATTCACATTTTTCCTGTAGTGCAGGATGGCATTGCAATATATGATCGGATACCTTTTACCTCCACCAACATAACTATCGTATATATGTGCATATCAAGATACCATGTAACTGCGTATATCAAGATTTAGATAGATAAAAAGAAATTAATTCACTTATATTTTGTGCCCCATGATCGCCAATGTTCATCGCAATCATTTCATTGATCACTAAACTATACCTTTTGAGTGCGAGTTGCTTACACACTTCATCAATTGAGATGTAGCTCTATAATCAAAAATAGCAATTGGCATGGAGTTTCAAATATACCAAAGTGAAACTCTATGACACTATCCTAGAGTTTTAGCGTGAAATTTGAAATTTCATGATAATAACTATTTTTTAATTATAACGGCCGAAAAGTGACTATTTATGAATTTTATCCTAGATAAGAAGAAAGACATCCCTTGTAAAAAATGCATGGGCCGGGTTAAAAAAAAACCGAAGTAAAAGGATCTACTACACAATTTTACTCTGCATTTTTAACGAAAAAGATAATTAAGGTAGAAGAAAGAAGTTCAAAGTCCTAAGATCGAACTAAAAGGATCTATTTATACGCAATCATACTCTGCATTTCTCGAAAGGTAATAGACATTCATATACTTTCTGCTCATTTGAATGCCTTACTTTTGAATTGAGAGGTACCATTACGAGCTCAATATATACGAGTGTTATTCCGTGAAATAACTCGAATTTCAAATCATTCACTTGCTTTAACTACTCATGCTATGGATGTAGGAGCATCAACCAATAATAAAAATGAAAAAAAAAATCATATACATACACAAACATTACACCAAATTACATAAAAAAATTCCCATAATTTATACTATAAAGTTCTTATTTTTTTTTTATACAATTTTTCTCTTCTATGTCTCTTCAACATTTCCATTAGATGATTCTCCAATTTCTTCTTCTTCTTGTTCCTTTATTCTCCATTTCTGCAATTCTCCTTCAACTACCAATTTTGCTGCTTCTGCCATTTCTGTTGTTTTCAATGCTTCTTGTGTCGCGGTTTTGATATCTTCTTTCTCCTTTAACAACCCCTCGAGTTTTTCGTTTGCTTGTTTTTCATTTGCATTGATGGTTTCAACTTGTGCCATCACAGTTGCAACTTTTATGTCAGCATCATTCTTGATTCCCTCTACTTTTCGTTTTAATGCCTCAAATTCCTCGACTGATAGTCTTATCTTCCCATTAGATGATTCTGATGATGAATGTTTTTCGTCGTTGTTATCATCAGTGGAATTGTCTGTTTTGTTGTTTCTTGATTGATTGTGTATCTTTTCATCTGCAACTTTCTCTGCTGCTTTTGCTTCTTCTGCCTCTTTTAGCGCGATTTTTAGCTTTTCCTCTGTTTCTTTAGTTGTTTCATGTGCTGATTGCGCGTCTTGTTTGAATAACTCCGTGTTTTTCTTCATCTCATTTGCTTCTTTTGTGTATTGATTAGCCTCGGAAGTTAACTGTTGGATTCTTGAAGGTAAATCATTTGAATCTCCTTCAGCTTGTGTTTTAGCTGAAATGCTTGTTTCGAGATCTTTCTTGCTGTTTTCGAGCTCTAATTTTAAGTTTTCGACTAGAGACTCTGTTTCCTCTGCTTTCTTTTTAAGCTCATTGAGTTCGCCTTTTACACATTCTGCTTCTTGTTTAAGGGATTCAACTATGGCACGGAGGGAACTTTCCTCCGCGACTATCTCTTTCAACATGTTCTTTGTAGCATTGAGCTCTTCATTTGCTTTGTTATATGCGTCTAAATCCAGGGCTTGGACTTTATTGAGTTGTTCTTGTAAGACATGGATTGCCTCGTTGGTTACCTCGAGTTTCTCAACGAGGTTTTCTGTTACTAGTTGAGAGTCAGGGTCCTCTTTGAGGGTCCTGATTTTCTCTTCAGCTTCTTCTTTAGCTGTTTTGAGTGAATGTAAGTGAACTTCTTTATCTTGGATAATCTTTTCGTGCTCGTCTTGTGCTTGGAGAGATGCAACTTTTACTTGTCCTAATGTTTCGCGTAATGTAGTGACTTCTTTCGAGAGCTTACCTAGCCTCTCTCTATTGATGGCCGCGTTATGCTGTGCATCTGCAGCTTCTTGAAACGCGGCCAGTTTAGCAGTCAGGGCTGCATCAAAGTCCTGACGGAGGTTTGTAAGCTCTTGTTTTGCGGAATTTAGTTCACCAGAAGATGTTCGATATTGTTCTCTTTCAGCTTCAACATTCTGTTTCCAAGCATCAGTGCCTACTGGAGGTTTATTTGATTTCTGTTCTTCGAGCTCGATGGCTCGGGCCTTTGCTGTCTCTGTTGCCTCAATAGCTGCTTGCTTCGTTTCGCATAGTGTCTCGAGCTTTCCTGTGAGTTCTTGGAGTGTTCTTTTAGCCTTTTCGAGATCTCGAAGAGCATGAGTCTTTGTTGTCTCTGTACTTCTTATCTGTTCTTTGAAGCCATCTAGTTCTCTTAGGGCCAAATGAAGCCTACTTTCCTTCTCTAACACCCTCTGAGAAGAAAATAAAGTTGTTAGTATATGGTAATTGAACCCTATGTTGCTCGGACTCTTCAAAAATGTCGTTAGATGCATGTCGGATCCTCAAAATAGTGCATTTTTTAAGGATCCGCCACGGATGTGTCAACATTTTTGGAAAGTATGTACAACATAGATTGAACCTATTGCTTTTGGCATAAACCATGTATAAATAAACATGCAAAAATTAAATAAAATAAAAATGTACTAATATGCGGATTCAGAATTTAAATTTAATGAGTGTTTCTTATTATTATACCCACTACACATTTCCTAGGTGGAGCTAGGTTTAGGTAAAGGGGTTCAATCAAATCTCTTTCGTTGAAAAATTCTTCGTCTCACATACGACAAACATTAGTTTTCTTGATTATATATAAACTGTTGAATGTCCTTGACGTTGCGATAAAAGGGGTTCAAAAATTGTGTTAATCTCAAATATGAACATTCTAGTATTTTATTGACTTCCCTCGTATATAAATTTCTAGCTCCGCCACTATTATGACCTAATGTCAAAAATTACTCTATTCAGATCACGCTTATTTTGAATCGACTGACTCTAGATATTGAATTCGACCGGTAATCATACCTCTTCAATGGTTTTTGATCTTTTAATTGTTGGTTTAGCCTGAGGTGAAGAACCAGTATCACCAAACAAACTAACAGCAGCTCTAACAGATTGAAAAGGTGCTCTTGTGTCAATTTCACCAACTTCTGTCTTTGGTGAACCTGTACTTCCTGCTGTTTTTGGTGAACCAACAGATGATGGAGATCCTGTTTTTGAACTTGGTGAACCTGAGGCATTTTGCCTACCTGTTCTTATACTGAATCCAAACATCTTATTCTTTTGTGGTTCTATAATATGATCTCTATAATTATGTCTTCTGTCCTGCATAAAATGATACATAATTTCAAGATTATGAGATTCTATTGTTTCGAGGGAAAAGAAGCAATAATATGTGTAGTGTAGTCCTACAAAATAGGGTCGCAAATCTTACCTTGGAGGTTATTTTCGATAGACCCTCAGTTCAAGGAAAAACAATTCCAAAAAGAACGAACGGTAATACATGAAACAATAGATAATAACAAAACAACTGATAATAACAGAACAAAAACTACAACAAAATGATACAATAATCGAGGTACAAAGAACAACAAAAAGTAACAGAAATCGAAGGACAAGAAATGTGCATGTATGCAGTAGGGCACACAGAATTTTATGTAAGCGATGTTGGCATTATATTATCAGTTTTGCTTGTAAATGTGTTTGAATCTAGGAGTATGTTGATTTTTAAGACCTAAGTTACTTCCCGTCTCGAATCAATTTACTTTTCTATCACTTTAAAATGATGGTGATTTGTTTTTTCATAACTATATATATCCAAATTATTTTATGAGAAAAAGGGTAGATAGGTGCATGAATCATCCAATGTTCATGCAAGCGCTAGGGAATGGTTTTATTCCAAAAGCGTGTGATATAGACAACCTATATATCTGACACAATAATCAATAATTCACAAACACACATGTGAAATTGTGAAGTTATGCATAATGACACCTTTTCTAAAAAGGTGTCTCGGTCATTGCATGCATAAAAATTCTATGATCATTTTTTTGGAATGCGAAAAAGATTATAAATCTCAATCTCAAACAAGTCCAGAGATATTATATATGCTTAATTAACATCTATCGCAAATAATACGCCCGAAAATATAAAGAGAAAACTCACTTGTTATTCATAAAAGAGAAGGCAAGGATTCAAGAAATTGTGATCTCCATGGCTACCAACTCATTGCATGTATGTATTCCAATTCTCAAGAAATAACAATTTTCCTTTTTTTTCCTTTTCTATTTGCAAGAAAATGATCAAAGGATATGAATAGAATGAAAGAAAATTAAGATGAGATATAATATTTTCTAATATTTGTGTAACAAATGAGTCCAAAATGTTTGTGATTTCATTTTTTCTATTTTTATTTGCTGTTCTTTCGGTGATAAAACATTTACTATTTTCCAAAAGCTTTTAGAGGTTTTTACGGACTAAGCACGAAAAATATGTTGGTAATTACACGATGATTATTCTCCATCATCCAAATGTATGTTAAAGGAAAAAATGAAGATTTAAAAAATTTCTAATTTAATCCTTATGATATTTAATTAAATTTATTAATCTTTAATTAATTAAATATGCATTTTTGATTTCTTTGTTTGTGAATATTCATAAATTTAACATAATTATGAATTAATCCGCCACTTAATTGACCATTTATTATGTTATGTTTTGTGTTATTAGTCAATACTTAACGGTAATATAATCTCAAAGTGATCCAAATATAACATATGTCTTCATAAGCGGATCAAAAACAATTATTTTAATTAACGAAATGTTAAATATGTTGTGTCATACATATATCATGAGGATCAAAATCAGAATTTACTATGAACCGGAGGATCAAAAGTGCTACATTAAAACTCCTCACCTTAAAAAATTAAAATTAAAATATCAAACTATTTGGAGTTCACATTTATATTTATTTAGCAATTATATAAAATAATATAAAATTAAGAGACTTGGTGTATTTTTCTAGGGAAATTTCATAAATAGCAAAAAATTAAACTTAATAAACTTCCTTAAATACAGTTTGCCTAATTACGCTCCATAGCAATAGTTTCGTTTGCTATGATTATTTCGGTATGTATAATTCGCTTACCAATATACAAACAAGGTAAGTACATACAAATTATGTATTTATTTATACATTTAGAAAATTTTCAAAACATATACAAATCATATACAAACATGATAATTATATACATGCTAGGATAAACATATACAAATTCTGAATTTATACAACTATGAACTGAATTATACAAATTCTGAACGTGGCCTAGTAAATAAGGTTATATGTTAGTGACAAAAAGTAATTTCTTCAAACTAATAGCTATGTTAAATAATTAACTAGCATATATTTACTTAGTCGTGTAATTTTCCCTTTTATGTCGGACACTATATAAGTAGTGAGATAGCGCAAATAACTTTCTATAATAAGCCTTGATTGGTAATACAGAAAATAAAGCAGATAACCAGCTACAAGAAGTTGTAATATCCACTATTATTGTATATAACGTTTATACTGTCAATGCATATAAGTTGAACCTTTAGACCATTGCTAATATAGTTTTCGACAATAAAGTAAAAGATTTAAACGTCTTGCTACTGTTGGCGCGGATAGTGCAAAGAAGTTTTTCCAGTTTCAAAGCGAGGAACGCGCCACCATCCCTACAGGCCTGAAAGATGCAAACACAATGTAGTTAGAAATGACACTACTTTGTATCAAATGCAATCTTTGATTGCAGCGAGTCAATTGCAGTTCAAACTCTATGAACGTTTAGAGCGACTTGAACCTGAGTTCATTTGAAGTCAGTGATACAACAATGACGTACCCAATGAAATTCTACAAAGCGGGGTCTGAACCCCTACTACCTTAGAGGTAGAGAGGCTGTTTCAGATATAATTCACTGATGTTTTAAGGAAATATTGCCAAATTTTCTCAATCAGATGAGATTGAGCTAGCTATCCAAAAGGACGAGAAGCAGAGAAAACAAAGTTGTACGAGAAATTTCAAGGGGTTGAATAGCGAATAAATCTTGAAATTAACAAAAGAAAGGGCCTACATGAACTCTACAACGAGGGCAGATGCTCCTCCTCCCCCGTTACAGACTCCAGCAACACCAAATTTCGCATTCTTTTGCTTCAATACCTGAACCATAGTTACACTTTGTGTGAGACAAATCAAAAGCAGCAACTTTCTGCAGATACTATTCAGTTGTCCATTACGAAAAAAATCTATCAATATCCACGCATAGCATATGGACATATCATATCAAATCAATGACTAGCAGAATATGAAAGTTTAACTAAAAGGGCAGTCCGGTGCACTAAGCTTCCTGTATGCACGGGGTCTGGAGAAGGGCTAGGCCACAAGGATTCGTTGTATGCAGCCTTACCCTGCTCAAACCCGTGACCTCCTGATCACATACAACAACTTTACCAGTCACGCCAAGTCTAATTGCTTAAGAATTAATATTAATAACTGGAGGAAGAAGTGGCCAACATACCCCTAAAAGAGTTACCAGAATCCTAGCTCCACTGCACCCTAGAGGATGTCCCAATGACACAGCTCCACCGTGTGCATTTAGTTTTCCCTGTGACCAGATAACATAATTACACCGGGATTGAGAAAGAGACGGGACAGGAATTGGATGAATTGGTTAGAAATCAATTTTTTTTTAATCAAAACTAAATTTGCCACGATATTTCACTATGTAAGCATCCAATGTGCACAGCAATGGGAGACTAACCGAATTAAGATTGAGCAGTCTTTGGTTGGCTAGAGCCACGACCTGCGAAGGAAACATGATAAATTACGGTCAAACAAAAAAAGTAGAGTCAGAAGACACAGTGCAGATCCTTACAGAGAACGCTTCATTTATTTCATAATAATCAATTTGAGATGACTCGAGGCCAGAATTCTTAATTGCTTTTGGTATAGCAAGAGCTGGAGCTGTTGGAAATAATTCAGGTGCCTGCCCAATAAATTTTGTTAGACAAGTCACGGTAAGTTGTAAAACTCGAGACAACAAAAGAAAATTCTCTTCTACCTGAGCTGCATCTGCAAATCCTCTGATCCTACCGATTACTTGCAATCCAAGTTCAATCGCCTTTTGTCCACTCACCAGAACTAATGCTGCAGCGCCATCACTAGAGTTACAGCATACAAGAGGTCAAAATAAAGCAAATGAGCCTACTTTCTACATCAAGCAGCACTAAACACAGAGTAGTGTCATGAAAAATACTAAAGGAACTCTAGGAGCAGGTTCTTATTACTGTCATATATTTCAAAGACGCTATTATAAATGCGTGAAAAGAAATTAGTCTGCCTAGGCACATGCACGTGTGGTAACACAGAGAAAGAGAGACAGACGAAAGAATACCTTATAATGGAAGCATTGCCTGCAGTAACAGAACCTCCATTCTCCTTGAAACTTGGTCTAAGCTTTCTTAGTTTGGAGGCATCAAACTAGCAAAATAACAATGAAAAGAGGTTCAAAGTGTTGACAGGTAAAAAAGCAACTCAGCAGATCAAGGTATCATTTACATTCAGAACTTGGAAACCAAGGGTGGACAAATAAAAATTTCATCAAGAACGTGTGGAAGAAGACTGGGAAATCAAGTATATGTGCTTGACAACAGCAGGGGAAAGAAAACCACACGTGAAAATTGCCAAGTCTGCTGCCCGAGAGTATAACTAATTGAAATCAAATATAAAAAAATTGACAAAGAAGATTTACAAATGACATTGATAGAAAGCGAACTTGCACATGGAAGCACTATTTTACTGCACAAGATAGAATATTAGGGATAGATCGTACAGGGATTTTTGTACAGTTAGTCAAGCAAAAATCCCACATTAAAGGGTGAAAGTAGGTGTATAGGATACATAAAAAGGTAAAGAAGATCATAAAAAAGAATGATCTACCAAAAGATGATCTCACCCGGAAACCAAAAAACAAATACATATATCTCAAGTACAATACATGAGTTTGTTAACCAATCCGATTCACCTTTATTAAGCCTTCATCTTTATCGACAATACTAGATGGTCTTCCTCTTCCACCAGAAATTTCTACCTGCATGAACATCAAAATTTTAATCTGAACTCTCAACCTTTCTAGAGCATCATTTTAAGAAAGAATGTAGAACCGCACTGGCACTATTTCCCAAGCAAATGCACCACTACGTTGTGCAGCAATTCCTCGCTCAAAGCTTTGAATAGCATAAGAATCCTACAGAAAAATGTGAAGACAAATCACCACTAGAAAATACAATAGACAATCGTGTTGAAAACTAAGTTTATTTTCAAGAATTTTCAAGGCCTTGTTTCCAGAAAACAAAACAGCTTTAAGCTTTACATAAACACACACAGCTACTTCCCACAGAAGGAGAAGTAAGAAAACAGGAAGCAAGAAAACAAAAATGAAGAGATAAATCTCAAAACTTCAGGTAGCAGCAGATATTACCTGCTCTTCTCTTGTAATTTTATACTGATCAGCACATAGTTCTGCACAGACGCCCATGCCAAAATCATTATAGACATCCCAGAGTCCATCTTTTAGCATGCCATCTACAACAGTATCATGCCCTAGACGAGACCCCTTCCTATCAAAATAAGGAAAATCATAATTGACTATGGAAAATTATTTTTACTGTAAGTTATATTTGATAAATTCTAAGTGCTAGTCATCCTCAAAATAGAGCTTCCCCAAAGCAGACAAAGAAAAAGAAGAAGGAGAAAATCCTTTAAGGACGTTGTCTTCCGACAATCAGAGAAACAAAGGTCTTTCAGAGGATTATGATTTGCCACTTGTAAGATCCATACTAGAACATCAAGAAACAACGTAATACACAGATATAATGCAAAAACTTTGAATGCATTGGCATAGTGTCTTCCACCAAAATTGCCAATTTCACTTTGAGGCATTGCAAACTATAATACATGCAAAATTTCCTGGAGAACCAAAAAACTAGATCTTGATTTCTCATTTTCACATAAGGAAGATTGTTTTGTAAGGACAGCTTAGCAGCCACAACAGATTGAGGATTTGAACATTATTGATGGAAGAAAGACAGTTTAACACCAACACTTAATGTGCTTCCGCTCTCTTTTCTTTTTTATTCTTGTTTCTTGGGAAGTGGCAGTTTCCATTTTATTATTGTCCAGATACATACAATCATTAGAATAAAAAATCAGACCTTGCTTGAGCTAGGTATTTTGGTACATTAGACATGCTTTCCATGCCACCAGTCACAACGATATCATTGGCTCCTGATTGTATAGTCTGTGCTGCAATCATTGTTGCTACAACAAATATAAACATGTCAGGAAGAAGTGGGCAAAAAACATGATAGAAATAATCGAAATGTATAGATGCAGATCCTACCTTTAAGTCCTGAAGAACACACTTTGTTAATGGTTGTGCAAATCACTGAATTAGGTATCCCAGCTCCTAAGGCAGCTTGTCTAGCAGGGGCTTGACCTAAGTTTGCGCTGAGAACATTTCCGAAGAAGACCTCTTGAACAAGGGATGGATCTACATTTGCTCTCTTAAGGGCAGCTACAGTCATAACAGATATATCGGAAGGTTGTCAACATAAAGAACTAAAGTAAATGGACATCAGATAACAGATGGAAAAGTTGGCTATCTATTACGATCACCTCGGATTGCTGCAGAACCAAGCTCTGTAGCAGATAACGACGAGAGAGAACCAAGGAAACCACCCATAGGCGTTCGAGCAACACCCACAATGCATACATCTGGAATTTCAAACATCTTGTTATACATATGAAGAAAATCCCAAAACGAAGTCATACCTTTACAGCACTCAAGGTGTGGCCTAGTAGTCAACGAAATGAATTGAGGATCATGAAACACTAGGTGATTTATTCTCAACTGTTCAAGTTTGGTGGATAGAGTTAATCCATACCTATATGAGGCAAAACTCAAAACTAAAAAATATTCAATGTTAAAAATCAGATCTTTACGGCACCCAAGGTGTGGCCTAGTAGTCAATTGAGAATCATGAGGTCTCAAGTCCCTAGCAAGGCAAAAACACTATGTGATTTATTTCCAACTGTCCAAGTTTGGTGGACAGAGTTAATCAATACCTGTATTGGTGGAAAGTAGCAGGTTAGTTATAAAAAACTCGTATCTTTACGATCATATTGTTTAGTACTACACCAATCCCAGTCATGTCTAGACAAATAAAAAAACAATCACAGCTTACATATATGTATTCAGAATTCTAACCAAACAAACACTAATGGCACCAAACTACTCCCTTTTATCCCAATTCAGATGAGCTAACTCACTAAGCGAAATCTTAGTAGTTCAGTTAGTTAGACTACGTGAACTTTCACTTCCACCTTTTGGTGATAGTTTGATTCCTCAACTTGTAAACCCCTCCCCAAATCCCCTTCCCCTACCCCCAAACCAAAACTTATCAACTATGAAATTTATGAAAACCCCATGAGAGAAAAATGAAAAAAGAAAGAATTACCTTGAAGTTTGATGGAATCTTGAACCATTTTTGCCATTAGATTTCTCCCAAAATGATCAATCAAGAACCAAAAATGAATTGGACCCAATTTAACTTATTTTGAACCAAAACAAAGTAACAACAGAAGAAATAGCTCCGATCAATAACAAATTTTTTAAGGGATTAAAGTTTTACACTAAACAAGATTTTCACAAAAAGTTTGATTCTTTTGGAAGATTCAAATCATTTTTTTGTGTGCGGAGATTTTGGATTTTTGTATTTATAGAGCTGAATAGAATTGCGTGCCAATATGATCTTATATGGAAAAATGAATTTTTTATTTTATTTTATAAATAAAACATAAATTTTAAAATTTTTTGTAAAGGATTGCAAAATGAAATCTCGAAATTAAATCTGAATATCTCCTTCCTAAAATATATAGTATCACATTTCCTAACTAATTTGTTTTAAAAGGAATAATTCTTTTAAAATCTGAAAAGATTTAGTTTTATGATCATTTCTTAATTATGTTTTTCTTTTAATTTCTAAATGTTATTTTAGTTATATACTCTTCTCGTTTTAATTTATTTGTTCTACTTTTTTTTATTCATTTAAAAAGGAGCGACTTTTAAACTTTTTAGCACTACTCTGATTTTATATTTTTCATGTAAAGTGTTTAAGAAAAGAGAAAAAAGTTCAAATATGTCATCAAACTTTGAGAAAAGACTTCATCTATGTCATTTGTGTAAAGTTTGTCTCATCTATACCATTTCTGTTTGAGAAATAAGCTAATTCATGTCATTATGTGTTAATTGAAAACAAATCCAGTTTTGCAAAATCGTTTTTTACACGTGGTTAATTATGATTTGGTCACGTTATTATTTAAATCATTTTTTAAAAGGAAAAAAATGTTCAAATATGTCATCTAATTTTGAGAAAAGGTTCATCTATGCCATTTCAGTTAATAAATAGTAGTTTAACATTTTTTCAAATGAAAATGACATACATGAGTCAATTTTTTAACGGATAACATATTTGAGCCTTTTCTTTTAAGAAAATAAGATTACAAAATATTTTGATATATTATATGAATATTTAATTTAAGCTAATAAAATTTAAAAGTCTTATTTTTTTTTTTGTATCAAATCAAAATAAATAAGATAAAGTAATATTTAGACTCAATATCACCCATCATCGTGATCTTGCTTTTGGTGTAAGAGACTAAGAGTATGCTAAACGTGTTTAATTGAGTGAAAAATTTAGAATCAATTTTTTGTTGTGCAAAAATTAAATAGGAGATCTTTATAGATGGTATTATTTTACTGAATGGATATAGGATATCATTTCCTTCTAAATTTGGAATCAATTTGACTAGCATTTTTGGATTTATCCTTAATATAATAAGTTTCATACTCACGTAAATATTGTGACATACCCAAATTTCCAAATTAAGTATTATAACATAGTTAAAATACAAATATTCCAAAAAAACTTTATTCCATTTTAAAACTCCAGACCCACTGCATAACAAAAATGTACCGATTCGTCACATTATAACGTCATATAAGTGCTACGTAAATTTCATATGGTACAGAGTTGCCCATATGAAGGGCTTGTATAGGAAGGTGGCTAGTCCTTAGTGGAAGATTCATATGTATAGTTAAACTATACTCAATTTTTTTAAGTGTATCATAATGTATACTCGGTGTATAATTCATATGTGGTAAATTATCTTTTAACTTTTTGAGTGCATCAATAATCCGTGTTTACTAGGTATGATATTTGACTACTTTTTATCATATTATATTATAAGTGGGAAGAACTCAAGTCAAAAGTTGAATTACGGTTTTAACCTCCTATAAATTAAAATGTTATAATAAGTTTAATTAAAATAGTAATGACTTTTGAATTTTCTTAGATTAATTCCTATATATATATATATATATATATATATATATATATATATATATATATATATATATATATATATATATATATATATATATATATATATATATATATATATATATATATATATATATATATATATATATATATATATATATATATATATATATATATATATATATATATATATATATATATATATATATATATATATATATATATATATATATATATATATATATATATATATATATATATATATATATATATATATATATATATATATATATATATATATATATATATATATATATATATATATATATATATATATATATATATATATATATATATATATATATATATATATATATATATATATATATATATATATATATATATATATATATATATATATATATATATATATATATATATATATATATATATATATATATATATATATATATATATATATATATATATATATATATATATATATATATATATATATATATATATATATATATATATATATATATATATATATATATATATATATATATATATATATATATATATATATATAT